TGGCCTCAGGTCATCTAAAACTAATCTTGTTATTGAAACAATTACTTGCCATTATAATAAAAAATTGAGTATGACAACATCAAGCCTCAACCAATGAAAGACATTGATATTATATATTGCGACCCAGTGTACATACAAAGGTCGTGGATCACAAAAACCTAGGAGATGTCAGTAAAAATCATGGAGTTCCATAATACAACTACATCTGGCACACGAGTGATAATAAAACAAGCCATTGAAAATGACAGTCCCCGTTAAATTTTTGAAAGTTCTCTTTGTGCTAGTCATATTAAAGCAGAGGGGTTGTCGCAAGAGTGTCCTTGAAACTTGAGTTCCAAGTGGCGTATACAACAGATTGTTTATTTACATCAAAACACGTGTTCCGTGTAGTAGTAATATGGCCAAAAATAAAAACAGCCGTTATTCGGCCATCTTTGATCTGATTATGAAACACACTAATATGTATGATGTATGTGCCAAATACGAATGAAAATGGTACATAAATTGTGGAAATATAGTAGTAAGGCCAAAAAGTCAGATGGCTGTCAATCGGCCATCCTTGACCAGATTTTGAAACAAATTGTCATGGACATGCATCCTAACATGCATAAAGTACATGTATGTGCCAAATTTGAATGAAAACTGACAGAGCACGTCAAAGATACCTCATAAAAAAACAAAACAAGATGCCTGCCAGTCGACCATCTTTGATCCAATTGCGAAATAAAATAGTCATGAACATGCAAAGAATGAACGGAATCGGCCCACAGGATTCTGAAATATGACTTTGGACAGACTGACACACGGACGGACGGACAGACTCAGGAACTCACGAACGGTCTGGGACATGTATCCTAACATGTATGATCTATGTACTAAATTTTAATGACAACTGACAAAGCATGTCCAAAATACAACATTTTCAAAAAACAAGATGGCTGCCAGTCGGCCATTTTGAATCAATCGCTAAACCACTGCATGTGCATATGTCCCACATAAAGTACTAGACACATGCAAAGAATGAACGGAATCAGTCCACAGGATTCTGAAATTTGACTCTGGACGGGCACACGGACGGATGGAGACCGAATTATAAAGTCCCTGTTTTCGGACTTCGTTAAAATGATATTAAAATTTAGAGTGACTACTTTTCAACATGCACACAAAAACAAGTTTGTGTACTGAAAACAAATGCTTCAGCACATCTAGTAACCATGGCATATGATGCATGGTTCATATTGTAATGATTTTGACACTTTATAAACAAAATAAAGAAACTATGAAAACACCATCCAATATGTAATAATCACAACATTTTAATACACATTTCTATTGCCATGACAACACAAATTCTATACTGTACACAAATTCTTTCTACAATGTAATACATTTCATTCCAACCCATTTACATGATATGAACTAATAAACCATGCACACCTTGACTTGTTCTGAGCAGCTGATGTGTCTCTTAACACAGAGCAATGTAGATTTTTTTTTAAAATTTTTTAGATGTTTTTTTCCCCCAGAAAAAAAAAATAAAAAATTTATGATAGATGCTATGCTTTCTACATCCAGAAAATAATGAACTTGCCTCAGACATTCCATCACTACTATAGGATTACTGTAAAACCATTTATTTTCACTGACATTTAATATCACTATTTTGATGTTTTGAGCATATTGACTGTGTTTAAATTACGCAAATTTGTCAAGGAATGTTGAATGTTCACAGAAATTTAGATGAGCAGATTTTACTTATCAGCAAAAATAGTTAAATTAAAACCCAGTGAATAATTAATGCATTTACAGTACATACAGGCAACATTTCAGCTAGCTGTCCTATTCCTGCCAAAGATTGACCTATGACCCAGGTCACAGTCAAAGGTCAAGTGATGCATTATTCTTTAAAGTTATTCTAATCATTAAATTTAAAACCAATTTTATCAAAACATTAAAATTACAAGTATCAGGAATGTATTTTTATCCAGTTCTTAAGTTCAGGTCTTCACAAAAGTTGTTATGACTATACTACAATCTCCTTATCAAAATATGTATTCAAAAAACATTGTAGCAAACTGCAATCCAGTAATGAACGTAATAAATATACACAATATATTTCCTGCAATTTTTCATGGATAAAGGATTTGCAAATAAAATCATGAATACATTGCTATTGTAATCAAAAGAGGAATCTGCAGTAGAGGTCAATTTGTTAAAAACAAGTACCAGTACCATACACAATATTTTCAAATTAAATTAAGTTCAATCGTTTCAAATCGTGCAGACACTAATAACTAACCAACAGATAACACACTGGTTTGGTAATTCCTTTGTAGTTATTTCGAAATGTTTGTAGTTGTCTTACAATGAATAATCGTAAACAAAGTTAAATGAAACATCCACTTGTACTTAATATTCAATAAACTTTAGATATAATTATTGTTTCGCATAATTACAATTTATCGACCGTAATAGAGATACTGAATATTTTAATTATATTACTAAGTGCAGGAAAATAGAATTATAATTATTTCATCATAAATATACATACAGTTTACACACCTGTAAGGCTTTAAAAAACTAACTTCATAAAAATCACCAACACCAGAGGACGCTGTCTAGGGGTAACATGTTGCAACTATTTGGTATTTAAGGTAACTCTTATAGGCATAATGTATCACAATAAGTGGATTTGGGAACCCACTAAAAGCGCCATCTAGTGTTGTGCATTCATAATCATCCCACTCTCCAAATTGTTTACTAAACCAATAAAAAAACCTGATTTATCTACTAAGGCAAAAACCTATGAATATTTGTGAATCTTTCTCAAATTTGAATTGCGCACACCTCAGTGTTTCACTGGAACAAATAAAGGGTAAAAACAACTAACACAATAAATTGCTATTGAAAATTACAAAACAATTATGATTCAAATTTTAAGTAAACTTACTGACATAAAAGAGAAAACTAATAACCTATTTTCAAAAACGTTTTTTGATTGCACGCAAACATAAAGCAAGGACAGTGTTGATTTCTGGGCTCTTGATTTTAAACAAAATGTCAACATTATTATTTTTCAAATACAGGATTCAAGGATACAGTTTTTCTGTCATGTCATTATTATTATTATTTGGTTTCATAAAAAATTGAAATAATTTATATTGAACTGAAAAAAATAATGTTCAAGGTGAAATCAAATACCAGGACCTCTACACATCCTTAATGGTTACAACAGTTTGGTAGGTAGATACTGCAAATACTGCCAGTTACTGAGATAGTTAAGCTTAGTTAATCATGGTTGATGAGGTGATGATTGGTAACTGCCAGTTGAAATATAAGAGATTTCAGAGTACTAATACGAGTTAAGATTAATAACTCCCCATCAGCATTGTAAGTTATTACCGAAAAAAAAAAAAAAATCACTGTTAATGACATAGTTCCTGTTTGTATTATAGATTTGAGATATATATATATGACCTAATGTATGATGTATGTGTGAAGTTTAATATGGGTCTGTGGAACTGCATTTTTTTTACACAAGATGACTGCCAGTCAGCTATTTTGGATTCAATGGTGAAAAAAATGCATATTCATTTGTCCGATATGTCTGAAGTATGTGTGAAGCTTGGACTTGATCGGTCCAGGCATGTTGAATATGTAGATCAGGAACTATATTCCTTCAAACAAAATGGCTACCAGATAATAATTTTGAGCCAAATCTAAAATCCAGTAAAATTCAATGCTTAAACTAAACCTGTTTACTCACACACTGGTGAGATCTGATTCAGGAACAGCATTTCTGGCATTAAAATGGCTGCCATTTAGCCATCTTTAAACACATCATGAAACAAATGGATGTGTAAGTGATATGTCTGATATAATGTCTGATGTACGGTATGTGAAGTTTGAACTTGATTGGCCCATATACGAGTGAGAAATGCCTGGATACAGACAGACACATACACAATCCACAAGATCTTGTATTTCGGACCTCATTGAAACAGTACTAATAATTGTGTTTTCAAGAGTAGGAATTAATACCATACAAATAGAAATTCTTTGATTCTTTTCTTCTGTGCTATTAAAAGATTTTTTGTTATTGTTTTCACTAAAATAGCTTTTCATTTTTTTTGGGGGGGGGGATAAAAAAGATAATGACCATTTGCCATGATAGCGTTGACAGGCTGTGCCAAAAACTTACACACACACAGCACAATGAACATCGATAGATCTTTGCAGAAAGTACATGAACCTGTCAAAAAATAAACAGCCTGTTTTATTTTTTCATGATTCTCTTGATATGAAATATATTTGTGCCATGTTATGTATAACAAGTCATTGAAAATGACACAGTCCCCATTAAATTGTTGAAAGTTCTCTTTGTGCTTGTCATAGTAAAGCGGAGGGGTTGTTGCGAGCGTGTCCTTGAAACTTGAGTTCCAAGTGGCGTATACAACAGATTGTTTATTTACATCAAAACATGTGTTCCGTGTATTATATGGCCAAAAATAAAAACAGCCGTTATTCGGTCATCTTTGATCTGATTATGAAACACACTGACATGTATGATGTATGTGCCAAATACAAATGAAAATGGTACATAAATGCGGAAATATAGTAGTGAGGCCAAAATGTCAGATGGCTGTCAATCGGCCATCCTTGACCAGATTTTGAAACAAATTGTCATGGACATGCATCCTATCATGTATAAAGTACATGTATGTGCCAAATTTGAATTAAAACTGACAGAGCACGTTCAAGATACCGCATAAAAAATAAAGAACAAGATGCCTGCCAGTTGACCATCTATGATCCAATTGCGAAATAAATCGTCATGGACATGTATCCTAACATGTATAATCTATGTACCAAGTTTGAATGAAAACTGACAAAGCATGTCCAAAATACAACATTTTAGAAAAACAAAATGGCTGCCAGTCGGCCATTTTAAATTGAATCGCTAAACCACTGGGGCATATGTCCCACATAAAGTACTAGGCACATGCAAAGAATGAACGGAATCGGTCCAAGGGATTCTGAGATATGACTCCGGACGGACGGAGACCGAATTATAAGTCCCCGTTTTCGGACTTCGTCCAAACGGGGACTAAAAAGTAATAGTCTCGACTAAAAAAATACAATTTTAAAATTTTTTGAATCATTATGAATATTTGTTGATAATTAACTGGGTGCATGAATTGAGTTATCACAATAGCAATGCTTGATATGTTAGAGTTAATAACTTTTTTAACTAGCAGTAACCATTCAAACAACCTAAACTAACCATTGGTATTATATAAACTTTAGTAAAAATGGCAGGTAAATAAGATGACAGTGTAGGCTTCCTTAGTGTAATTTTTGAGTGGCGTATGTCTGCCTGGCTTGTTTGTTTTGCACCGCTAGAAGTAAATACTGTCGTCCACCATTCTTATCCCACTCTTGTTCAAACTCTCGCTCCAGTATCTCAGCACCACGTTTACGTGTCAGACCAGTCTCATCTAAACTCAGCTCACACATCTGCATGTCATCTTTACCTGGCAGGAGAAGGGACAATAATTATTCACATAAAATTTTGCTCATATTGCTCATGAAGGTAAAACATGGAATTAGAGCATGACCTCACCAAAGGTCACACATCCTGGCATTTTATTCATGACCCGTAAAAGTCATACATCCTGGTATTTTATGCATGACCCCCTAAAGGTCATACATCCTGGTATTTTATGCATGACCCCCTAAAGGTCACACATCCTGATATTTTATGCATGACCCCCAAAAGGTCACACATCCTGGTATTTCTGGTATTTTATGCCAGACATCCTAAATGTCATACATGCTGGTACTTCATGTACCCCCCCCCCCCCCCCAAAAAAAAAACACATTCTGGTATGTCTGGGTGTAGACTTTCTATAAACAAGAAGAAAGTACCAGGATGTACACACATGTCACACAGACTTTTTCACACGTCATACAAACAACTGTAAGGTATTCCTTTTTATTGTTGAGCGAAAGTGGAATAAAAAATAGTCTCAACAACTGCTGATAAAACTATAGTTGATGATGGATAATAAACTGTTTACTGTATTAATCTTCCAGGTACTGGTACCATCAGGAATCCATCAGTCAAATAAATATGCTGGCCCTGAACATGCATAACAAATAATAATTTACCTGCAACAAGCAATACTGGTTGTTTATCAGGATGTACTTCCATTTGTCTAGCAATCCAGGGTCCGTCAAAGTGAGCGTACCACCATCCTTTCTTTTTGAACTCAGGATCTTTATGCTGGTCACTGGGACGTACAAATGGCACACGGAAAAATCGTTGTTCATTGTTGACTGGCGCAACTGGCTTCTTGACAGGAGCAGCTTGTGTTGGTAATGGTATCGGGATGAGTGGACCCATTTCTTGCTGCTCTGTTGCTGTAAGGCGAAATGTGGGAAGGTGTAGAATTAACTTTCAATACAAACTATATTGACAATACACCCAAAGAAGGTTTCTTGGCTACAAAATTGCATAATTTTCACTGAAATTTTTGTTGCTTGCAAAATTAAAGTTACAGTTTTATCGGTACTCACATCTGATCAATTATATGGTGTGTGTATATCAGTTTATTCAGATAATACCACATTTGCTCTAATAGAAGCAAATCTCGCTGGCATTTAATTTTACTATTTTGAGTAATTTCATTGGGTTTTAAGTTCACAAATTTGGCATAGAAACAATGCGTTCTATTATTCTACATTATTTATTTTTTTAATGAAAATAGCAAAATTAAAAACCAATAAATAATGAATGAGTTTACAGTATAAACCAAAAATTGGGTTTGTATATCGACTCATCAAATTACCTATGACTTATTGGGTTTGTATATCGACTCATCAAATTACCTATGACTTATTGGGTTTGTATATCGACTCATCAAATTACCTATGACTTATTGGGTTTGTATATCGACTCATCAAATTACCTATGACTTATTGGGTTTGTATATCGACTCATCAAATTACCTATGACTTATTGGGTTTGTATATCGACTCATCAAATTACCTATGACTTATTGGGTTTGTATATCGACTCATCAAATTACCTATGACTTATTGGGTTTGTATATCGACTCATCAAATTACCTATGACTTATTGGGTTTGTATATCGACTCATCAAATTACCTATGACTTATTGGGTTTGTATATCGACTCATCAAATTACCTATGACTTATTGTGACCATACAAACAACAGTATGTTATATGGACTTGTACATCAGCACAAATATGGTATGGTTAATTTGACTATTGGGTACAATTATAATATGCAGAGACATAGTAGACATTATATTGTAGTTGGTAATAGGATTATTGTTGATTATCCAGAGTTTGTCCCATAACAAAACAGAACAGGGATTTACTGATAAAATTATACAGGTGAACATGAACTTTACAATTCTAAATTCAGAAAAAAACGTTCTATGTTAACACCAAACTCGTCCAAATTGGCGTCCATACTCTCGGAAAACTACATTGGTACAACACAGCATTCTGATTGGTTATAACAGACTTAACCTATCAAGTGCTATTGCAGGTCAAATCGTGCATGAAAACATGGCGGAAATTGTTTTGTATCGGGAAAACAAAGATAATGATGAACATCTTGATTTTTACTGTTTTCCCACAGCCCATTCATAATTTTTACATTGTAAATTCTGCAATTCTTGTACATAAATAATATTTTAATAAAATGTGCATCTTTATTGTGACTATTTCTGTTTCTTCATTGTAAACATGTTGTAGAATTCATTCCCTAAAGAAACTCTCTAATCTGGCACTTGGTGATGTAAAATTGTCATTTGCATGTTTTTTTGGGGAGAGGGGGGGATGCTTAGTCAAGATGCTTAATTTTGAAGCTAAGTATGCTGGAAGCAAAGTCAAACAAATATGGTAGATACTTTTCAATTAAATTTACTACGTACCAGTATCAATAATTGACTTAGGAGCCCTCTGATCGGCAGTTTCGTTCTTTACATTACGTTTTCTGTTCTTAGACTTCCATGCATGGTAAACTTTAAGACGACGATGGAACTCTTCTCGACAAGATTCAAGCATGTCAATCTCTGGAAAACAAACGTGAATATTTAACAGAATGTACCCCAACAGGGTCAAGTGATTGACCAATGAAAACAGTACAAGCTTATTGAAAATATCCACATATGGTACAGAAGACCTCAAGTAATATTACTTCTACACATTTTTAGTCAAGTTTATGTCATGGGTGAATTTACGATTTACACGTAAGACAAAATACACTGGGCTACAGCGACACAATTTTTTTAAGCAACTTGTTACTTACCACATGATGTATTTATAGCATCTCTAAGTTCAGCATACTTCCATTTACCAAGGTCATATCTCTTCAGTAAGTTGGTTTGCTTTTGAGCAACCACCTGTTCCGATCTAAGTAATGAAAATATAGACATGAATGTACATACATGTTATCAATATCACTCAAATGCTATTGAAATATCAATTCATTAAACCCTTATCTGGTCAATTCAATGTACATATAAAAATACATGGAAATAGCAGGACAAGGGTTAAAATTTGTACCACTGAAACTTCAACAGGTCAGACCCAATAAACAACTTGCTCCAGGGATTTGCCGTTTTAAAATTTCTATATGTATTTTTTTTAAAGTTTGTGACGTTTTGCTCGGTCATTGGAGGCCTGTTGCTTGATATGGAAATACAAGATTTGAGTTTATACAAACGACAAAGCTTTTTCAGACCATGATTTTCCAACCAGATTTAATTCTATATGTTTTTTTAGAAATAGTCTCTGATTTCATTTAGAAATAGTCTCTGATTTCATTTAGAAATAGTCTCTGATTTCATTTAGAAATAGTCTCTGATTTCATTTAGAGTGTCTTGCGCATTTCATGAGATAACAATTTTTATTCTTCATAAATTCAAAATTTGCTCACGGCTCTAGGATTTTCTCTTGAAAAATCCACGAAGCAAGTATTATTTTGGGGTCTGGTCGTACAGAAATATAATGAATTCTATGATAAGTATGATATTTATTATAACACAAGGTCTATCACCATAACTTCCAATGGTGTATACTACATTATGCTTCAATGATTCCTGAAATGATAACCGTTACAACTCATGATGAAATGTTCCACAGGTGACCTTTGACCTCAGGGATAACAATTTGACATAGAATGAAATTAGAATGAGAATGGATATGTTTGTTAGAAAGTGGTACATTGTATAACATCATTATGTTAAGTGATCATTGATTGTATGAAAAAGGCTGGCAGTATAAAATATTAGTTTTGTTTAGGAATCTAATGATAGTAGGTTATATTTCAGATTGCAAATTGCCGAAAAAAAATCAAAAATATAATCATGAGTTTTCTTGATGGAATGAATAGAAAAATAATGTAAACTGCATGATTTTCACTTGTCAGGAAATGAAAGCAGTTTACAGTAGTTATTTCCATGGAAATAATTATAATTGTTTTCCCACTTAAATTTATAGTTTGATATAAAATATTGAAAAAATATCAATTTTACTACTGCTTTTACTACTATGATGATTTTATAATATGCACAGTAAGAGCATTAATTTTCCCAATTAGTTAGTTTCAGCATATTTACAGATTTTTAACAGTAAAACAGCAAGTTCTATTGTATAATCAGTTAAGTATTTATACATAACACGTATGGCACAATGCTACATGTAACCACATGAAGTGAACACAATCATTATATCACCAACATTTTTTATATAATTTTGCACATTATATGTGTTTTTCTACAATTTAGTTACTTATAGACCAAATAAACCTAATTTCAAATTGTCAACTAGTTTTGATACAAATTTTTGAAAAAATATGGTTTATTTTGTAAGAAGTGATTAAAGTTGATTGTGGGGTTGAAAGGTCAATGTTGTTATGAATAATGAGTATTTAGTATGAAAGTTAATTTGTTTTAATTTGTTTGTTAGAATTGTTAGCACCTTGGGGAAGCCTGCATTGGTTGCATAGCTTGCATTGGAGATATCGGCTGCATGGGAGACACCGCTGGTGTAATGCTGGAGAAAAGTAAAGTGAAAACAAAGACAAAGAAAAAAAAATATTCATAGATTTGTTAAATCAGATATAAATAACAGATGCTGGTAGACACATGCAATACCAAGAACAGGTTAGTACAAGTACACATAGGCATAGGAAAAAATGAAAAAATAAAAATAAATAAATAACAAAAAAATATCAAAGAGACAGGTGTTGTTGAAATTGTTAACATTGTTGACCAATTCTGTTAGTTGCCGTAGGTTACGCGAGTTGTTAGACAACAATGAAGGGTAAAAACAAAATTATTTAACAATATGCTATAATCATAAGCTAGAGGGCGCTATACAAGTAGTGAAAGTAAACATAACTTAGAGGGCGCTGTACGCACAGAGGAGGGATGTTACAGTGGTATTAAAGTTGTTACTAATACAATATTTGGTTTGTTGTTTTCTTAATTCTATCTTTGCACTACAACAAAAAAAAACAAGTTTCTTGCAGAGTAGTTGATTAGCATATTGCCTACCTTTGCAGGGGCTCTTCTTGTACCACTTCGGCCTCATTTTCCTGTGCAAGACGCAATGCAAGCTCATAATCACGTCGCTCCTGTTCCAACTGAGTTTGTCTGAAGCGAAAGAAATGTGAACATTATAGAGATACATGAAGAGAATTTGATGACAAGATCCAGTTATGATTTTAAATTATTAGTATACATTTTATTAAATTTATCAGTAACAAATCTACATTAGACATCCAGATATCTTCGTCATATTAATGAGATTCATTGTACCGGATTCTGCCGTAAATTCGCCCAGGGCAGTTAAACGGCAGTTCGGGTTTTTAAAAAAAATAGAATGGGACCAAGAAACCACCCAAGGCGATTTTTCGGCAGTGTTTTAAGGTATTATTTTAATCTTTTCTGATGCCTAAAAGTTTCGCCCTAGTCATTGACGCTTATTCAAGAGTATTGATGTTTATTGCAACTAGCGTGAATGGGTTAGCTTCGTTTCGACAATAAGCTGTTATCGCTGTAAACAATGTTAAATTATTCTTCAAATGCTCAGTTTATCTTTTGAAAACAACTAATATTTGTTATTTAAAAACAAATCATGCCGCTTTCCCATCAAAATCCAAGCAAAAGATCGTACAACAACATCGCCAAATCTCTTCCGTGCTGCATTCAATAAATTAACATATTTAAATGAGCTATGGTAATTTTAACATGTTGGCATCATCCATCCTTTTTCATTGATTAATTATCGATTTGACCTATCAGGTCAAAGAACACCATTTCAGGTCAAAACATTGCGGATATTCATTTCTACAGCATCAAGTGTTGAAAATGCGATCGGAATCAGTCACTTACGATGGAATAAGTTGAAATTTATTTGCATTTCATAACAATTCAACGAATTTATTTTTTGTACGTTATTATAATCATCACTAGATAATAATCAACATTTGTAAAACGCAGCTCGACCGGATTATGCTACTGCGATCATTTGCTACTAAGCAATGCAGTTGTGTTCGTTGTTATTTGAAACTTTTTAATTAAACTTTTTAATCCAGCTAGAAAAAAATGTATTTTAGATTAGCTTCTGCAATAGTTTCTTTCGTTTTGGGTGGTTCAACTGCTGGTGTTGAAAATCGGCGTAGGTGGATTTTTCAATGAAAATATAAGCCCTCCTAAAATTTGTTGGAAAATTTGAACTCCAAATAAGGGCCCACCAGCCGTGAAAGCGCCCAGGGCGATTTTTCAGATGGACGAATTTACAACAGAATCCGGTAATATTTATGTAAAGTCCCAGGATGTGTGACTTTTGGGGTCAACGAAGAGTCACGACAAGTTTTAGGATTTGTTTAATTACCTCTTCTTTTCTTCTTCCATCTGTCGTTTTTTCTCCGCCTGCAATTTACGGTCAGCGTCAAGTTTTTTCTTCTCCTCTTCCTTTCTCTTACGTTCTTCTTCTGCGCGTCTTTTTGCTTCCTCCTCTTCTCGTTTTCTCTTGGCCTCCATCTCCGCTTTGCTGTACACACAAAAACATTTATTTACTACCCATACCCATAAACTCAACCTTGCTTTAAAAATTGAGAATCTTTTATTTGAAAGTTTTAACAGAATATTCACCGCAAAGTAGAATCTATAATGCTTTTTTTCTAATAAGATAAAAATCAGATAATTCAAGGTAGGATGTCTTCAGAGTTGTGGGCATGTTGCACGAGTATCAGCATAAATCACAGAATAGCGGTCTCACGACCCTAAAACGTTTTGGAAGAAGACTGGTGTCAACAATTTTAAATTACTGAATATAAAATAAATAAATAAATAATGAAGTAGTCACTTTTTACCTTTACTGAATAGAGAACTTGAATTCACAAGTTTGAAAAAACACAAATTTGATTTAGTACCAATTAAGAACTGTGTTTTTCATGAAAAAAAAGGTTGAAAAGTCAAATCTAAATCAGAGGTCAATTTAAGAATAGTCAAAAGAAAATCCAATATGGCTGACACAAACTATATATTCACTGAACTCACATTCTTCTCTCCTCTTCCTCTTTTTTTCTGATGCGTTCCTCTTCTTCCCTTTTCTTACGTTCCAATTCCATCTGTTCCTGGATTTTGCGGAGTCTTTCTCTTTCTTCCACCTCAGCTTTTCGCTTTGACAGTGTTTCCAACTCTTTGTTCATCTTGCTTGCCAGATCAAAATAGGCAGAGTCTATCTGCTGTCTGGTCATATAAGTTGTCTGAAAAAGGAATTTTGCGAAAAAACAATTAAATATAACTCATTTTTAACAAGCACATTTTTGAAATGACAGAGCAGAAAAAATCACAAATAAATCACAAAAATATTAGTAAAAAATTGATTATTGCAGATATTGCAAATACACACTATTCAAGCAATCTGAATACCATATTAGCTGTATTAGGAATATGGGTATTTATGTAAATGATAGGAGTGTCTATAGTCATACTATCAGTAAGTTATATTTTGAGGGTCAAATAAAATTAAGAGTGTGTTTCTGGTAACATTGAAAACAAAAGCAGGGTACGTAGGTCAGGTTTATTTTATCATAATTGTTGTATTCTGTGAAAATTAATTATTCTCAATTTATTATTCTGCAATGCTGCTTGGACTATACTTAGTATTTTTAATAATACACCACATCTTGCATGAACAGGTTGGCATTTTAGTTAAAACAATGAAGAATTTCAAGTACAGCTGAAAGGTGTACCTATTTTCAATTTTGGTCATAAAAGGTTGGCATTATTTTTTTTATTTGGTCTAATGATCCAGTACATTAAATGGCATCTGTGTGCTTCTAATGGAACAAATAAAGTACATGTAGTGGTTTTCAAGAAAAGTTGACACCAGACAAAATAAAAGTTATCCTGGAATATGGAAATAAAGGAACGATATTTTCAATATTTAATGCATGCTAAAAATGAACAGTATTCCTAATTTATCCCAAACTACATGTTTTGTTTTTTTCACTGTAGAGATATTGAAAATGAACATTCAAGATTGGGTAAAAGTGAAATGAGACGAGTAATTGCAAAGCTCACCTTAATCTTCTTAACCAGGGAGTCCATACTCAGTTGTACACTGTTCACGTCTTTCGTTAATTTCTCTTTCGTTTTCTTATCTCCCTTAATACCATCCACTGAAAAGTAGAATTTAAAAATAATGAGTAGATGACCAAGAAATATTCACCATCTTTAATGTTGCAAAGAATATTCACTTAGTTTTAATTCACTAATTATCAAGAAACAATAAATTCAAATGTTAACTTTACACAGTATGTATGATTTTTTTTTGAAAAAAGTTTTTGTGCAAGGCAACATTCCAGACATGTATATCATTGTATATTGTGTTTGACATATAGTTCATGTTGTCATATACTCTAAATACTTTATTTTCGCTATTTTTGCTGAACGAATGATTCAGTGAAAATACAATCCAGTGAATATACTTTTTTTCCTATATTTTATATTCAACTTGTCAAAAATCAGTGAAAATAAATTCCATACAAAACCCCCAGAATGTCTAATCAGCGAAAATTAATTCCAGCTAGGAGTATTTTACAGTAAACAATATTCCATATGATAGGGATGTGTCACTATTTTACTATTATAATGGCATTACCTAGATCATTTAGGCATCAGTAAAACAAGTGATCATAAAACTTGGTAAGGTAAAGAGTTCCTTTTGCACCCCAATCCGTAATCCTAATTCCAAGCCCACTAATTCAATTGTAAATACCCCCTTTAGATAACTATAAATGTCCTTAGGAGAGGTATATATAATTAAACATGGTGAATGCCGGAGGGTAAGGAGGGTGAATGTCGGAGGGTAGGGCTAGGGTTAGTATGTTAAAGAAATTCTTTCCCCAAAGAAAATAGCAGGAAAATGTTTTTTACAAAGTTCAAACATGACAGAAAGATTTTTGTTCTTGTGAGTAATGTAGCTTTAAAGCATCACGTCCCAATGATCAGAGGTGTGAGTTGATACTTAGTTACAACACCATATAATTCAACTAACTGTATGTAGAATACTGACTTTCTGTAATATTGTGCAGAGAGCACACTGTTTTTTTTACAGCACTGGACCTATAAGTTCATATTCATCCCCTCCCATAATATCACATGTTTGAGCCTTTACCAATTTTTCTATGTTGTTCAACTGTGGTCAGAGTAGTGAATTGGTTCTATTAGTGGGGCATGTACTTAAATTACAGAGGTGTGTCTATGGTCAAAATAAGTCATATTTTAATATTTGAGTATACAACAAATGTAATTTTTGGTTTACATGCACTTCTATTGGAGATGCCCTTCTAATAGAGCAAATAGGGTACTGATATTGTGCAACTCTTTACATTGACAACTGGTGTTTTTTTACAGACCCCTTTTCTAAATCAAATTGTTTAACCCTCACCTATTTTCCTCATGCTATCCAACTGTGTACGTAGAGTACCGACTTTTCGTAATCCCTTGTAGCGAGGGCGGTGTTTCTTCACCGCATTGTACATACGTATACAGCTCTGTATCTTGATCAAAGCCGCTCTACGGTACAATAACTTGTTCTTCACTGTGAAATAAAACAGGAAATATGAAAAATACACTCAATGTACCCAGTATTATTATCAAGCAACTATTGCAAGGATGTGAATGAAAACTAATATATTATAAACTGCTTCAATTCCACACCAGACAAATTTTTGTAGCAGTAAAAATTTTACTGGCGCCCACAGCGTAATGAAAATTCCAAGAATCAAAAACGGTTTACAGTATGAACCTAAGCCAGTGTTAACTGACTAATTTTACTAGTAGAACTACTGGCAATTTAAAAATACTCGACTGAGCGGAATCCTGGGTAATGTTAATTTCAGGTCACAATGCTGCAATGTAAACAAGTGTTTGTATCCATGTTCTTAAATTTGAATATACAACATTACTACAAGGTAAACTAAATTAGCTACTCATGTTTTACAAGCAGGTTTCAATGTGCTTTCTTCAGCATGTGAATGCCCTATAGAATTCCACGGTGAAGTGTGACGTTAGTCTGTGGCAGAGAATAGGAAGTATTGCAAAATAAATCGTGCATTAGTACTGTAAAATCTGTATTAAAAGCTGCACCTTTAATATAAGTCACACCCATTATTTTTGGACAATTGAGAACCAAACATTTGTACACATGTGTACATATGTGTAGATGCTCTAATAGAAGCCACATCCCCTTTGTTGCATTGTACCATTTTAATAGAAGCAGCAACTTTTAATGCAGATTTGACAGTATATTTATTTTTTTCTATTCTATGCCCATCCAAGAAGGTAAAGGTAATGAAGAGACTGTTTCCACCATGATGACTAAGGAAGACCATGGAGGAATGATGGGGATGGCGGTGGGATAGCGAAATGTGTATAAGCTTCCAGTATGAAGTCTTAACAATGACTGAGCGGGAATGAAGGAATTTCAAGGAAAGGACGCTTACGCTCCGTGTGCAACATTCTATACAGAGATAGGTGATTGGTTAGGAAAGGGGGGCCCTGTAGGTCAAACATTCCGGAGGGGGGCTTGATGATGGTATGTATTTACACACTAAGATTTGTGTCAAACACAAATCCACAATCATTGTCCAATGTGTAGTTTGACTGGTGACAATTTTAAATTCAAACGTCTAATGTATTTCGTTAATTTAGACCATTTTTCGACACAATAAACTTTCACCCCCCCCCAAATCAAACGACTTACAATTTCTGTGTATCAGTTTTAACGATAGCCCCTAAAAGACTATATACAACTCTAACAAGTATATCATTCACAATTACTTACATTTAATAACCATCAGAGTACCAAACTGTGCATACTTCCACCGTGTACATATCAACCATCTTTTGACTTTCTTGACTAAGTAGGCCAAGTGATCGGGGTCTGACTTCATCAGCTGATCAAATTCCGCAAATTTACCAGGTCTAAAGAACACCTTGGTTAAACCAAACTTGTAATCATTGTCATCAAGACCAAGAGCTTTAAAAAGAGCCTAGAAGAGACACAAATAGATTAGTTTTTTTGTGTACATTATAATAATAATAATATTTTTTAATTACATCATAATGAAAAAAAAAAAAAAATTAAATATGGTATAACCCATTAAAACTGCTCAATGATAGGTCAGTATATGTGTGAGTGTTGTAGATGGTTAAACAGATAGGAAATGTACTTATCTAGCAATCAAACTGCTCAATGATAGGTCAGTATATGTGTGAGTGTTGTAGATGGTTAAACAGATAGGAAATGTACTTATTTAGCAATCAGTAAGAATAAACTGTGGCTTAATTACCTTTAAAATGAAGTGAGTAAGTGAGTGAGCGAGCGAGTGAGTGAGTGAGCGAGCGACTAGTAACAGAGTCAGTCAGTAGGGTAGTGAGCGAGTAGGTTAGTGAGCAAGTGACCAAGTCAGTTGAGTGACTAATTCAGTTAGTGAACGAGGTCACTGAGGGAGCAAGGTAGTGAGTGAGTGAGTGAGTGAGTGAGTGAGTGAGTGAGTGAATGAATCAGTGCTGTAGTGAGGTAGTGAATGAGGTAGAGTAAGTGACCAGTGAATAGACTTACCTTACAGAATAATCTTGGATCAAGTCGTACCAATTCAGGTGGCATATATCTTTTGTAGAGACTATAGAGTTCGGCGAAAACTGTACGTGATGGATAACCACCTTGCATGAGATCCAGCACTGACACCATTCCTGAAAGTGAACAAAACAAAATAGTGTACTGGAAACTATTCTAAATAAGGCGAAAATTCATGCATTAAAAAAAACATGGTAGATATTGTTTTACATAGTGTTTTCTAACAAAGACTAGTTTTACCAGAATTTTGTAACAAACTAACATTTTACTGTTAGTATAGTCATGAATGTGTAATATAAATTTTTTTTGTTTTTGAATTGCAAATGTCAACTATTTGAAGTGCCTATTTTTGAACCAAATTTTTATTTAATATTTCGATCTTGCCTCATGAAAAAATTAGAGTCATCAACACTTAAATTAGCAGAAATATGGTACCTTGTATTGTAGTTTTCTCACAATAGAAAAAGAAGTTTTCTGATATGACTGCTCAACAGATAAAAATGAGCTCAGGCCAATTATTTTTTTTTAGTACTTGTCACTTTGACATTTGCATGATTGGCAGTAAATGATTAAACATAAAATTTAAACAAACAAGCCATGCATGGCACAGTCACCGTTAGTTTAAAATTTAAGATATATAGTTTTGTTTATAGTATTATTATAGCTGGAATATAACCATGTCACGAATGGGATTACTTGACCATTCTGAGTGATATTGCTCCGGAACAGCATTCAAAATCAGACATTTTGAATACATGTATATATATAACATGATATAACGAATATATAAAATTTGAATATAATCAGTCAAAGCATTTAAGAGATATGGCTCTAGAAGCCCATTCATTAAAACAAAATGGCCGTCAGACAGCCATTTTGAATTTGATCTGAAAAATAAACGATTTAAAATAAAAGTTTAAACAAAATCCATCCATAAATGCCAGAAATGCTTGATATTTGATTTTTTTTAGCTTGGTCATTTTGAATAGGATAGTCAAACCAATATATCTGTTTATCTATGACATGATGTATAATGAATATTTAAAATTTGAACATAATCAGTGAAAGCAAGTCAGAGATATGGCACGAGAACCACATTCATTAAAACAAAATGGCCGCCAGTCAGCCATTTTGAATCTTATCTAAAAAACAAAATTATTTGCATCAAGGTCCCATAATGTCCAATGTATATACCAAGTTTGAACAAAATTCATCTGTAAACAGCCAAGAAATGCTTGATTTTTAGGATTTTTTAGCACAAAAATGGCCACCATTCGGCCATCTTGAATCAGATCGTAAAACAAAATGATGTGCATCAAAATCCTATAATGTCTAATGTATATACCAAGTTTGAACAAAATCCATCTGTAAACAGCTGAGAAATGCTTGATTTTGATGATTTTTAGCACAAAAATGGCCGCCATTCGGCCATCTTGAATCAGATCGTGAAACAAATTGACGTGCATATGTATAATATCATGTATGATGTATGTGTGAAGTTTGATTGTGATTGGTCCAGGCATTTCTAAGATACAGGTCCGGACGCACTCACACACGCACGGACACACGAAGGTCAAAACATAAGTCCCCGTTTTCGGACTGCGTCCGAACGGGGACTAAAAATCTTACCTGCACACTGTAACTGGTTGAGAATCTGGCCACCTTCAAACAATTTACCAACCATCTTTAGATTTGGCTTAATACAACGAATGAAGTTAGAACCATTCCCCTCAAGTTTTTCCATTAACAGACTCAGCTGTGTCTTGAATTTGTTGCCAACGCTGATGAAGGATAGTTTCTGTATTGATTTTGAACCTTGCGTTTCCGGGAACAACCTTTGGACGAATCCATCTTTACTCTCCTGCATAAGGCACGCTAATGAGGCGTGTAAAGCGTCATTGTTTTTATCAATAAACTGAGACTGTAAATAAAAAATAAATATTCACAATAATATTCATCTTTAAGATTACCAAATCAGTGGAGTGGAGTGGATGGGAAGCAAACCTTCTATTTTATTACAAATAGTAATACTTTTGTTTTGACTTGACGCCAGCAGACACTTACAATAACCACCAGAGCAACAAAACCCTCACTGTAGAAATTAATTACAGATATATATAAAATATGCAAGTTTTTATCTAGTGTAATACAGCCCTCAGTTCTGTTACACAGGGTAGACGTCAACACTGCCCTCTATGGGTAGGTAGGTAGGTAGGTAGGTAGATCATATACTATCAATTTTTAAGAATATCTACATATTGGAATTCAAAGTCTATATGAATTGTTCACATACTTAATCAATGCTTTGATTGCAATTTCAATAGATTAACTTTGAAACATAACTGTCCACATTAAATTGTAGCTGCACAGTGAACATGTCATGTAACTAGCACATAAAAAACAGTGACATTCAATGTCCAGAACTGTCACCTGGCAGAATAACATTTAAAATGTGTGCATTCTATTTTTCTGGATAGTCTATGCTATTCTGTGCACATTACATACCATACATAGTTACGTAACTGTAGTCCTTTATCATTACATACAACCTTAATTATGGCACATAATTTTGAAAATTTTTAGAATTGTCTAGCTTGGCTGTGAATGTGCAAAGTGACTTAGCAGAACTCTAAAAACTTGTCTCTATCAATATTGTAAACAATTAATGTTGTGTGAGCCTTTCCTACTCACATATGCAGTAATGACAGGGTTGCTCAAATGTCAAGAAGTCACTAGAACACTTTGAATGTCACTATTTTTTCTACCAAAATTTTAATCTATAAATTTAATCAAATAGCAACTCACAGTTTGGTAGCAGACAGCACCGGCAAAATGACGGATCAAAAATCCCTCGTCTTCTCTCAGGTTTCGGTGAGCAGTTAGTTTTGATTTACGGGGAATCTGAAATAAAATTAGATAAAAGTTTACACTTGAACCTGTATTTGTCAAGTCAGAGAATTTGTAACATGATTGGAACAGTAACTCTGTAACCAATGATAAATTATATGTATTTGGTTAAATAGACATAAAATTGTCATCATTTAATTATGACCCCAAGTATTTAGGTGCAGTCTTCAATTAAACAGGGGAAGATACTAATCACATGTATCAACAAATGCAATGTTTATTAGCAGCTGGTTATTATTATTTTAAAATTCAAAAAATGTTACAAATTAAACAGCAAAATTTGAAAATAGTGAGCTCCGACAATTAATTGGGCATGTATTTATGTTATGGCTGTTTATTAGAATACCTCCATGATTAAAAGCATGTATGCACGTTGTAAATTCAGTTGTTTTCCTAATATAGTATTGAATAGATGTAAAGTACGTTTTGTAGACAAGTACTTGTATCAACGCTGCGAGAGGGTTTGCTGATGACATCAAATCGGCAAATGAAATGTTTCTTTTTCAGAGACAATGAGTTAATTCACTCATTACTGAGATGAAATTAAATTATCTCTGTTTCAGAGCTACTGCACTCCCACATTTATTTTGTGGTTTGTTTACACAAAAAGTTGGATTAATCTGGTCTATGCTGCATATTATTACGCTCTTAGAATTTAGCTTAAACCTGACCATGAGTGGAATGTGTTTAACTGCAAAAGTACTGCAGATTTAAAGTGAGAATCAATTGATTTTGTCTGAACACTGATACCATCAAATCTTTGTTAAAAATAAAGATGAGATCATGTAGTATGACACTTACATCAATTCTGTAGTTGTTATCATGCTTTTTATGAACCACTGCCGTAAAGTTATTAGGATTTGCTTTGGGTAGTTTACTCTCTTCATCCAGCTGGTCCAATATACCACCTGGTTTTAATTCTATCATGTCTATAGATAAATGAAAAAAGAAATATGATATTAATAAAAGATAGAAATTGAAATTAAAGGAACACATTGAACAAACAAACAATAACAAA